ATGCTAAACGGCGTTAAGACCTAAAAAGCCATGTTTAGAAAGCCTCATCGATTATTTTTATATTCTCATTGGTTTGAGATACCAGGCACAAGAAGTTACTGTCATAAAATTTCCGCGAAATCTGCTTACTGAAAACCTCAATGAACCAACTTTTCTCGGAAAACTGAATCCAATATTACCGATCATTCAAACTATGACAGAATCTTACATTTGAAAGGTCTCATCTACTTAGTTCTAGAATGAACTGTGAAAGCTCTCACCCATCTGAAACATAGTTTCATTCACAAGTTTCTGCCAGTATCACTTATTCAAATGCTGTTTGCTAAGTAATGTCTCGGGCTATGTCGAAATGGATTTTTCCATCCTTAAATATTCAGGGTGGTAAAATATGCCCAGAAGGAGTCGTATTTTTGTCACGATATCAAGAGGATCTCGTTTTGAAAACATAAGACAATTTTCTCGGATATCAAAGTCAATGAAGATTCTTGTTTCCGTTTCAATGAAACATAACTAGTACTATCATCACCTATCATGTCTCCGTCCAATTTTACTGGTAACATTTCCATCGATAAAAATCTCGGGAAGTTAAACTCTTTCTCTCCAACTTTTTGGTGAGAGTAAACTCGTGCTTCTCTCCTCAAATATCAACGGTACTAAATGCAGTATTTTGATCTACATGACGTATCCACATACATCTTGTTAAGAATAGTAAAAGCGTCGAGAAGAAAAAATCATTATGAAACGTTATGCTGATTATAACTGATATGCTTTGTCATTAATTACGTGTTAGGAAATGATTTGGTTCGTCGGCTTTGCAAAGTGTATTTTTACTCAACAAAAACAAAATGACCTCTTGAACGAAAAGCATTTCTAATTAAGCTCCCTATGCAAACTTCTACCAAGGAGCTGTGTTTGGTATTCAAACAAATCAAACACAAATTGATTTTTAAATAGCAAGGTTAGTTATCCTGACGAAGGAGAGGAACAAAAAATAATTCAATACAGTCGGTTTAAACTACGCATTTGCGCAAATAAAGATTTCCCATTTCAAACTTGAATAAACACGAAATTACTGTCTTTACCGGACGGATTTTGTGTCTGTGATAGTTAAGACACTGTAGAGGCAGGATGACTCAATAATTTCGTAGAGAAAAATACTTTCAGCATTGACAGAAATATTCCTCAGTACACGTACACCTGAACGAATTCTTTTTTAAATTCCAACGTGACGTTATCAAAATGCACGTTTTGCTCCGCACATATATAAACACTGATTGTGAAGTGATCACGTTTTAACTTCTGTGAGCACACCGAAGGAAAATACATATAGCGACAAAGTTCCAACCCAAAAGTGTTTTCAGCTTGTCTTTATCACTGTCTATACATCTACCTAAGAGTATTTTGAACGAGTTTAAATTTCAGACCAGCTTAGCATCGCAAGACCTTTATTAATTGTGCTTGTTATTTCGCGATTTACCCTAGCTTGCGTTACTAATTCGTAGTTCAAAGGAAAAATAATATCAATAAACAGTTCTTGCCGGGCAGAAATCTAAATGCCAAGGATCACTCACATTGACGATCGAATGTTAATGAAAATTGCCAATAAGATTCACTTTGCACCATCATTATCCTTAGCCCAATGTTCTAAATTCCTGGAAATCAAATCACGCTCACCTGTTATAAAGTATATTTTTGTATGCCCTCGCAAACAGGTTTCAAAGAGTAGAAATTAGAACGAAACCGCTTCAGCGTCGAAGAAATGCATTAGAATTCCGAGGTTTCCGTTCTACGACAACTTTTACGATCCTAATAGGAATATTCGCAGACTTGAGCGTAAGTTGCAGTGCAGTCAGTATCGAAACCCAATCGGAATACAAACAAATGGGGCACAAACCTTTGAACTGGCGTTTTTTTCAGCTAAGCGATGGCATCGTCGAAGACATGATGACTTTACAGATCGTGCTTGAGATTCTTGAAGCAATACACCAGCAATAAGGACAAACAAGGGCAATACCACGACAAACATTAAACGGCCGAGTCTTGTATTCATTGGATTGCAGTTGCGTCAAGAGACGTCGGCATCACATGGCATTGCAATTTCAGGGCTGGATATAGCACCAAGCATTTTGTCTTCAGACACGGACTCCTTGTCGAGAGCACGGACCTCTCTTTACAACCTCGTTTGTTAACTCACCCGCAACAAATTCGTGATTTATGTATGCTGCAGACATAAACAACAGATCATAATTGATGCGCTCAGTCTTCATTATGCCTTTATCACGTGCGATCGAAGTTTGCATTGTCTCTTCCAGTCTTCCATACTTCTTTTATTTTAACACTAAGCTATTTTTATCTTCGTGGATATTTATTTGCATGGGACAATTTTATTCGTCTTGTTGTTTTTCCAAAATACAAGAACATAGTAAAAGCGGACGTCATGTACGAAATACAAGCATGAGTGAGCATGGCGTGACAAATCTAAACAAAAATACCGATGGACCAGCCATGGTGACTGAAGCCTGACCTAGCTAAGCGTCTGGCACCTAAAGATATTAATTATTATGATAATATTAATGATGACAGTAATGATAACGAGACTTAAGTAACTAATTATAATGATTATATTTGTTTTTATGATACTGCCGTAACTTCGTGAAAATAGTAGAATCGAGATAAATTTCAAACTCACGATAATACTCACGAATTATTTTTTAAGAACATGTGTCGGCATGACTCATACCATCATCCATTTTTTGTGCTGTATACATTCACTTTGTTTTTACACGTTTCGCGAAAATAACGTTATCAATCTAAATCAAATGATAACAGTTAGAAATTGCAGCGCTGTGAAGTATTGTCAATTGGTTTTAATCATGATTATCATAATTTTCAACATCATCATTTTTCAAATTTATAAAGTTAGATCATGACTCACAGCTATAAAGAGAATTAATATACGCCAAACAAGTAAATAGAGCTTTTTTGCACGCGCTGATTGGCTAGTTCGGAAATGAATTAGCAAATACTATTAACCTCTGAGCAGCCGATGAGACAAAATCGCGCGTAAAGAGTTAAATTTCCGACCATTTTTTTTGGTATGATAGAAGAAATAAACAAGCTTGTTGGTTTCCGTGTGGTAAGTACTAAAATAATTATTCACCTCTAATGTTGCGTTTGCAGTTTTGGTAGATAGGAGCTCCTTTCTAACAGGTGTATACGTATCACGCTAAAGCTGAATATGAAGGATAAAGCGAGGATAACACTGGTCTTTAAGGGGAAGGAGAATCGGAGAGGGAGATAAATGATGAGTATTTTCTCTCCTATCCCTGAATTTCTGTTTTGTTTTCGTTTTATCTGCGTTTTTGTTGGTGTTTTCGCTTGCAGCCCATTAGAAGCCTGCGCGCGCACAGGCCTCATCATGATGTAACATACGATAAAGAGTGTGACGTAACGGAAGAAACTCAGTTTTTCTTCCGTTCATAAAGATAGTGCTCGATGCTTCTTAATGGGCTATGTTTTCAGGTGGGTGCGTTTCTTCTAGGTACATTAACAATCTACAACATTACTTTGAGAACTTTGAAGCGAACGCAAGTAAGTTTTCGCAGAAATATGAGCAGTTCTTTCTAACTCAGTATGTGACGAAAACGAAGAGGGCAGAGCATCGAGCTATGCAAAGCTCTTTTTTTTACGATCGTTATTGCAAAATAGGAAAAATACTTACCAACAGTTACGATACAGAACGATTCTTGCGGGGTTGATGATTTTATTTTAAGACAAAGCACTCTGTACTATTTACAATAAATAGCTAATTGATCCTTAAGCCACGCAAAAATGGTTTGTAATGTTCCAAATTTTTTTTCCAATCTTTGTCTTTCCAACTTGTTGCTTCGTGCTGGAGATCTTTTTAACCCTTCAACTACCATGGGTGACCAAGACAGAATTTCTCCTCACTAATAATCTGGGGATAATAAGTTGATCCAATACTAAATTCTCGAAACTAACATTATCAGAATTGTATGGTTGACAGTAAGGAGAATTACAGAGAAATCTATGATTTTATTGTCTTTTCGATAGGTTTCTAGCAAGAGAAATAAAATTTTCTTGATCCCTGGCAGAGTAAGAGATTCATGAAAGAGAGGCCCAGATCAATAAGGTTATCGGAAATTGTTAAAAAAAGATAACAAATTACTTACGTATCGTATCAATTAGGAATTTGAGGTTTAGAAAGGAGAAAACTGATTAAAATGCAGAAAAATGTTTTTTTTTTGGATCTGGTTTAAAGGTCATCTGTTACTATATGTTTTCCACTCAGGCACTAACCTACAAAAAATTGCTCTCTTTTCTCTCAACCTTACAACGAGAAATAAAATTAGGTTATAAATGAGCACCAACAGTGAATAATGATGAGGAATCCTCTACAAATTTGACCCTCGGCGAATATCCAATAAACTTTTGACTCATGATACTGAAACAGTCATTGATTATTGGTATTGAGACTATTTTAGCTATGATTATGTTCCAGTTGTGAAACATGAAAGAACCTTATCGAGATCATATTCACTTTTTACCTTCGCTTAGAGTGTTATATCCATTGACTTGATTAAATTGATTTGATTTGCAGAAGAACTTCGTCACCATAAGAATATAAAATCTGATGTTGAATTCTGGTGTTGAAAATATAAAGTCGTACTGAGTACTGATAGCACCAGTTCTCTCAGCTAGTCTCTCAGATGAGTGGCAGAGTCGAGTAGTGTTGAGTCAATTAGAATGATAACCAACTCGTTTTGACTTCATGAGTCTTTTTTCTGAACATAAATCAGTTAATTACAATTTCGAAAATTTCTGCGATAAGAAACAGCTGGCCAAAGAGAAGCGATTGTCAAGTTTTATGGTTTGAACTCTGCTAATAAAAGCTGCAGCGTCGAGAACCTGCAAAAATTCACAAAGCTTCCAAAAGGAAATAAATGTTACTATTATTCGTGATGGTAGTTGGTGCTTTATCACGCATTAGTAATACAAGTTGCCTCAGTGGCCATTTTGGCAATTTCGTGTCCATTTTCGAAAACATCTCCGTTGACTGGTTCAAGCACGGATACTTCGGTATCATTGCTTTTTGTGCTTTCACGTTTGTATTTGTGAGGAACCCCGAGAAATTCAAGGAGCTTTTTTTTCCAATGAGGTTTTTCATGATTACTTCCATAGTCGATCACGCTTCTTTCTCGCAAATCTTCGGGTAGCGACCCTAAATCAACGTCATCAATCCTTAAGATAACCAAACTGTCGTCATTTCTTTCGAAAAGTCTCTGCTTCGCTTGATCTAGCTCATACCTGCAATAACGGCCGTTCAAAAACTTACTTGAGAAAACTACTACATTTTTGTAACTTTTTTAAACGCTATCCGAAATCAGATCATAAATAATACCGCCAGCTCTGAAGTCTCTGTGGTGGATTCGGCATCTTAGCTTATGCTTTCCTTCAAGGAGAGGTAGAAGCCTTTCTTCCACCCATTCAAGGTCATCACTTCTAAAAATTATGAATGCGTCACAATCATAATTTTCAGGCCCAAGATCTGAAAATGATAAACACAAAATTGTTAGAAGGAGTATTTATGCAAAAGAATTGTAAATTCCCAGACTTGTAAGTGTTGCTGCCCAAATTTTTTATAGTTTCTATTTTTCACAATTTACCAGTAAAATTGTGAAAAATAAAAACTATAAAAAACTTGAGCAGGCTTCATACTCATATTAATTAGGGGCGTTTTCAAGGTTGACAAAAGAGGTGAAAGATTTACCAAACACTTAATATAAAGGCTAAACATTTTTTATATTTCGAAAGCGAGGGTAGAATACTGTTTTGGCCCACATCTTCCCGAGACGGGAAGTCGTGCAAAAAAATGTCACTCACTATCAAGGATTTTTTCGGTGTCGATAGTGCATGGATGTTCAGTTCTTAGCTGTTGCAGTAGATGTGATCATGTTATAGCTTGAATAGGCTCCGAGCAAATTTATAAAATAGTTTTACCATGCGTGCTGTTTTGTTAAAAAATATATTATCTCAAAGTCCAAGAAAATCTAAAAGTTGAATTCTATTAAGAAGGACAACTTCGACTGAAGTGGTGAAATAAATGGATATGGAAAGATGTTGTCCACACGTGATTTCAAAGTTAGGTACGTAAGCAATGAGGATCAGTCGAGTCGCTCGCCCCTCCAAGAGATATTATTGGTATTTCTTTATTGAAAGACAAATACAAACCACCAGATGGATGGATGTATCCGTGTTGTAAACAGATTCTGGCAAATCTTTTATGGCAAACACCAGCCAATACTACTGCCAAGACACCAGCAACGATACCAACGGAACTGGACACATATTTCATGCCTTTGTTAGAGCCTAGGTGAAAATGAATAACTTCTAGTACCAAATCAAGAAAAGCCTTTTACCTGCCTTCCTTTTGTGACTCTTAGATAAAAACTTGTGATTTGCTGTTATCAAGTACCGGTATGAAAGACTTTCAACGAACACACGTTTAAAGTGAAAGGTCGTTTCTAAGATTCTGTCTAACAATCGGCTCTAGGAATCTCTCCATGCACATTCTACAGAAAGGCGAGTAGTTGAAAAATTGCTGAGGTAAAAAAATCTGTGATTAAAGCCAGGTCACCATGCCCGTTAAAAGACAGACACAATCCGGCTGTTTGTAGACCCAGGCAGCTCAAGAAACCAGTACTAAGAAATAAAGAGATCGATTGACACCAGCAACAAGCTTCATTCTAACAAAGTTTTTTTAAAGTGTGAGACTTTGACGCTTACGCTGGGCAAGGGCAACAACGATGTAACTATACCAGGTGTGGTGTACTATGAAGCATTTCCTCCCCGATTTCTCGTGAAAAGATAATAATTCGTTTTTTGAAAGAGCAGTTCATGAAAAGAATAATTATTTTAAAACAATGAGGCCTGTTTCAAAGTGTTCGTGAGAAGTTTGTCTGAGACCCCATAAACATAAAAAGTCAGTATTTCCTTCTCACACCAATAGGAATACAGTTTGTCAAAGTTCCTGTGCAAAATTTGAATCATAACTCACCAAATTTTCCAGGTTTTGCAGGCTCTGTGGGCATAGTACCCAGATCAGAAGACAAGGAAAATAAACAGGCGTTTATGCAAATAATGTGAGATAAACTTGGGTGTCTAAGTGCTTAAGTGCTATTAGAAGTAAGATCACTGCGATGGCTTTCCGATGATCACAAATTTCTTCATTTGAGATTCTCGTTTAGTCCTCGGTGGTTACTAACTGCAGTTGCTTAAACAATCATTAAGAATTGCATTATTGTACGACTTCTGACATTCCATTTACTTCTTTTTAACACTTTTGACGGACGCAACATTACACTTCTTAATAACAATCTCGCTAAATCATTTGGGTTTTAAACAATCCTCGAATGAAAGTTTTTATTTTCATCTTACCCGCTGTCGTTTGATTTAGAAGTGAGAATGACATTGCATTGGAACAGCTGTCAGGAGAAAAAGCGAAATAACCATGGGATTTCACACTCATCGTTGAAGCAGTGACCAACAGATGAAATTTTAAAGTTTCTTATCTGATAAACTTTTCTCTGTTTGTATTACCAGAACAAAACAGTCTAATATATGAATATCATGTCTATGTAACGAAGCAGCATTTCCTTATATCCTTGCCTTTAAGGAAAAGCAATTTTAAAAGAAGTTATCTAAAAACTTTTTGTTTGGTCGGCAGCGATCTCTTTCATGACATTCCGTCTCCGTGCTATCCAGATGTTTTTCACCGTCATAAAATTAATTCTACAACATTGTTATCGGTACAACTTACGTGGTTTAAATGACAGTACATCTGAGATGTCCTCTTTCGGAGAGTAAGGAAGGGCAAGAATCTTTAAATAAAATAGGAAACTAGTATCACTAACCTTCTTTAGTTCAAAAATAATTAAACTAAACTGATCGGCAGCAAGTAAATTGTAAATCGAGTGAGATCTCACTTACCCTCAGATAAATAGTGTCTGGAAAAAGGTACCCATAGGATGAGAGATTAACTTGAAGAAATGTTTGATTCTGAAATTTAGAAAGAAAAAGAGGAGAAATTATGGTGAAAAAACAAAAGCAATGCAACTGATAAGCTACGGACCACCACGTTATAGACCACCTGAAAAGAAGTTTATGATGGTCGATGGATTTTCCAAAAACGGCTTTCAATACCTCTAAGAGAGGTTTTCTTTCAGTCCTCTTATTTTGTACGGCTGAAGAATGTCGTCATGCGATCCTAACATTCTGATCTTTAGTCTAGTCACACGTCGCATTAACGTGTTGCACAAGTATCTTGACAAACATTTAACCAGCCAAAACGATATCCATGCAGATTTAAATCTATATCAGTGCTGGATTATTCAAGGAGCGTACCCAAAACACTATCACCTATGGGTATGGCTTAAAATCAATAGTTAAAGCCTCAGTGTTCTGAAGACTTTGGCTGAGTTTGTTTCTTTAATTAGGCGAGTTGCTAGCTTTATATCATTCAAAGAGGCTGTGACATTTTGGTGTTCAGTCAATCTTCTTTCTAATGTGCAAAACTAGCTTTAACTTGCAAGACAATAGTTATTAAAAGAAAAACAACAAGAATGATAAAAACGGTGTGGATGGTAATGTATTGAGAGGTTACATCACTGAGTCGCAAACACCTGACTTGAGGGGTAGAAATCTTATTTGAATCGTTAAAGAAAGTTACCGGTAAAAAAAAAAAACTAACTTAAAGTCAATTTAAAGCAATTCATTAGCCTATTAAATTCACCCGATAAGTAAACGAAATTCAGGTCAATCTTTAAGAAAGACTGGAACTACATTTTCCGCGTAACTTTGCCTCTTACCTTCGGATGTTGAGAACAAATTGATGGATATATGCCTTTCAATATAGGGTGGGCATTTTTTGCCGTAAGTTTAACCACAATACCAGACCAGTTTCCGTTAGTTTCTACAAAAGCAAATCGCAGAATGAAAAATTGTTGCACAAAAGAGTCATCATGCTCTTTCGTGAGGGAATTATAAACTGAAGCCAATACAAGGTCATAGAGAAAATGCTGAACACAAAAAAATATTATCATCTACTTTATACCTTTCAGTCAAAATATCCTTAATGTAGTGTGATCAAGGAAAAATTTAAGTATGTACTTTGAATCTTACAAGGATAAAACTGCTTTGTAAGCAAGGGAACTTGCACATTGATTAAACCTTCATGATAAAAAAACAAGGCTTAAAGAAAGCTTTTTTTCACCAAAATTAAAACATCATTAAGTTTCATTGCTTTTAAGGAACATAACATAGATATATTCATATTAAGTATAAAATTCTGCATTTGCAGTTAGATAATTTCTGAAAAGAAAAATTAAATTTCAATACAAACCAAGCTCCGTACAAGCGCGGTAAATCTGGAATTTAATTTAATTTTAATTTTGGATCTGATTAGTTTAGAGTAGAGAAAGTTTTTCACTCTAACCATATCGCGAAAGAAAGAAAGAAAGCAGATCACGTTTACTTGTTATAAAATATTTTTTGCACGCCCTCGCAAACAATTATTAAAGAAAAGAAATTAGAACGACACCACTTTAACGTGGAAGAAATACATAATGCATTAGCCGTGGTTTCCGCCATACGAAAGCTTTTACATTCCTTAGAGGAATGTTCGCAGACTTGAGCGTAAGCTGCAGTGCAGTCAGTATCAAAACTCAATCGGAATACAAACAAATGGAGCACAAACCTTTGAAGCGGCGGTATTTTTAGCTGAGCGATGGCATCTTCGAAGACATGATGACTTTACAGATCCTGCTTGAGATTCTTGAAACAAATCGCCCGCAATAAGGACAAACAGCGGCAATACTACGACAAACATTAAACGACCGAGCACTGAATTCATTAGATTACAGTTGTGTCAAGAGACGTTGGCATCACATGACATTGCAATTTCAAGGCTGATATAGCACCAAGAAATCTGTGTCAAGACACAGACTCCTTCTTAATGGCACGCCTTCCTGTTTACAATCTTGTTTGTTCACTTAGCTGCAACAAATTTTTGATTTATATATGCTGCAGTCATGATAATATGTTCATTATACCTTTGCACGAGGTTTGCATTGTCACTTCCGGTCTTCGTTATTTCTTTTATTTTAATTCTGGGCTATTTTTATCTTTATGGATATTAAATCGCGCGGGATCATTTTTTCGTCTTATTGTTTTTCCAAAATGCAAGAACAAAGTAAAACCTGACGCCATGTAAGAAATAAATACTTGAGTGAGCATGGCGTGACAAATCTAAACAAAAATACAGATGAACAAGCCATGATGACAGATGCATGACTTAGATAAGCGTTTGGCACTTAAAGATATTAATAATTATGATAATATTAATGATGGTGTTAAATGTAATTTCTGACGTTTGAGTGACATGGAAACGAATTAGGGAGAAATTAAGATTCGGATAGCACGTTTAAGAGGTGCGGGTGGCATCATGGAAGTTTCGGATTACTTAAGGGTTTCGTGGGAAAGTTTGGTCAGTCAGTCTTAATAAACTTTTTAAATTGCATAACTTGTCTGAGTGTAGTCAGAATTGATGACGGGACTCACATTACTACTTATAATAATTATATTTGTTTTTATGATGCTGCCGTAACTTCGTGAAAATAGTAGAATTGAGATAAATTTCAAATTCACAATACTACTCATGATAATATTTTTTTAAATACATGTTTCAGCATGACTCATACCATCATCTATTTTGTGTGTTGTATACATTCACTTTGTTTTTACTCGTTACACGAAAACAACGTTATCAATCTATACAAATTATACTAGTTAAAAATTGCATTACCGTGAAGTATTGTCACTTGATTTTAATCATGATTATCATCATTTTCAACATCTTCATTTTTCAAATAGAGTTAGGTCATGGCCCATCGCTATAAAGAGAATTAGTATATGCCAAACAAGTAAATAGTGCTTTCTGTGCGCGCTGATTGGCTAGTTTGGAAGAGAATAGCAAGTACTATGAACCTTCCAGCAACCGATGAAACAAAATCGCGCGCAAAGACTTGAATTTCCGACCATATTTTGGTATAATAAAAGCAATAAACAAGTTTGTAGGTTTCTGTGCGGTAAATACCGAAACAATTATTAACCTCCAGTTTCGTAAATAATTGTTTATCATGTTTCGATGACAGTTTTGGTTCTTGAATGAGAACTCCTTTCTGACAGGTGTATACGTAGCACGCTGGAGCTGAATATAAAGAATAAAGCGAGGATAACAGGGTAGGGAGAGAGATAAATGATGAGTCTAAAATATTTTCGCTTTTATCCCTGAATTTCTGTTTTGTTTTCGTTTTATCTGCGTTTTTGTTAGTGTGTTAGCTTGCAGCCCATTAGAAGTGTGCGCGCGCACAAGCCTCATCATGATGTGACATACGATAAAGAGTTTGACGTAACAGAAGAAACTCAATTTTTCTTACCGGTAATAAAGATAGCGCTCGTTGCTTCTTGATGGGCTTGTTATCAGATGTTACACTTTGTGTGGGTGCGTGTCTTCCAGGTACGTTAACAATCCATAACATAACCTTGACAACTTTGAAACGAAAGTAAGTAAGTTTTCGAAGGAAAATGAGCGATAGGTCTTTCCCAACTCAGTACGTAACGAAAACGAAGAGGGCGGAGCATCGAGCTTTGCAGACCTTTTTATGATCATCACTACAAAGTAGGAACAATACTTACGAACAGTTACGATACAAAACGATTCTTGCAAGGTTGATGATTTTATTTTAAGACAAAGCACTCTGTACTATTTACAATGCATGACTTCTAGAGCCTTAAGACACGTAAGAAAAAATTTATGTTTCACAAATTTTTTCCAATTTGTCTTTCCAACTTGTTGCTTCGTAATGCAGCCCTTTTAAAAGTGGCTTTGCGCCGTGTACGGAATTGCCGAGAATTCTCTCATTTTTCTGTCTCTACGAAAGCTTTTTAGTAAGTACAACTGCAGTGATGGTGGAACGAAAAAATGAAAAGTCAGCATCGCTTGTTACGTCAATGATAATACAATCGTCTTGATCTCTTAACAGGCAGATTGAGAGATTTATGATTATTCAAAACTGTCAAAAATAATGGCCAATTACTTATAAATCTTATCAATGACAAATTTGATGTTACTATTATTCGTGACGGTAACTTGATGCCTCATTATGCGAAAGTAAAACAAGTCATCTGTCCATGTTCGGAATTGTTTCTTAGAAAACTTCTTCTCCTTCTCTGATCGGGTCGACGTCGTCTATGGAGGATACTACTGTATCTGGCTTTCATGCCTGTTTTTGTTAGGCTTCTTGAGAAACTCGATGAGTTTTCTTTCCCAGTGAGGTTTTTCATGATTACTGCCATAGTCGATAACACTTCTTTCTCGCAGATCTTCAGGAAGCGATCTTAAATCTACGTCATCTTTTCTTATAATGACCAAACTGTCGTCATTTTTTCTGAGAAGTCTATGCTTTGCTTGATTCAGTTCAAAATCACAAAAGCCACTTTTCAAAAAGTTCCTCGAGTAAACTACTACATTTTTGTAACTTTTACTAATACTATCCGACATCAGTTCATAAATAACACCACCAGCTCTGAAGTCTCTGTAATGGACTCGGCATTTGAACCCATGCTGTCCTTCAAGGAGGGGCAGGAGCTCATCTTTCACCCATTCATTATCATCACCATTAAAAATTATGAATACCTCATGATTTTCAGGCTCGATATCTGGAAGTAACGAAAGGAAAATTTGTTAGACGAACGTGGGAGGTTTTATCCGAAAGAACTCTGTGAAGTTCTCAGACTTAAGTATAGCTGATAAGGGTAAAAGCTTGAGCAGGCTTCATTCACAGCACAAAAGAGTTTTAATAAGGAGACTGAAGTGGTGAAATAAATGGATATGGAAAGATGTTATCCACGCGCGATTTCAAAGTTAGGTACGTAAGCAATTAGGATCAATCGAGTCGCTCGCCCCTCCAAGAGATATTATTGGTATTTCTTTACTGATAGACAAATACAAACCACCAGATGGACGGCTGTATCTAGATCCCCTGTGTTGTAAACAGATTCTGGTAAATGTTTTGTGGCAAACACCAGCCAATACTACTGCCAAGACACCAGCAACGATACCAACGGAACTGGACATATATTTCATGACTTTATTAGAGCCTAGGTGAAAATGAATAACTTTTATTACCAAATCAAGAAAAGCCTTTTACTTGCCTTCCTTTTGTGAGAGATAAAAACTCGTGACTTTCTGTTATCAAGTACCGGTATGAAAAACTTTCAACGAACACGCATTTAAAGTTAAGGGTCGTTTCTAAGATTCTATCTAACAGTCGGCTCTAGGAATCTCTCCATGCACATTCTACAGAAATGGGAGTAGTTGAAAAATTACTGAGGTAAAAAAAATCTGTGATGAAAGCCAGGTTACCATGCCCGTTAAAAGGAAGATACAATTCGGCTGTTTGAAGGCTTAGGCAGCTCAAGAAACCAGTACTAAGAAATAAAGAGATCGATTGACACCAGCAACAAGCTTCATTCCAATAAAGTTAGCGTGTGGGACTTTGACGCTTACGCTGGGAAACGGCAACAACATGTAACTATGCTAGGTGTTGTGTTTTATGAAGCATTTCCTCCCCGATTTCTCGTGAAAAGAGAATTCGTTTTTTGAAACAGCAGTTCATGAAAAGAATAACAATTTCAAAACAATGAGGCCTGTTTCAAAGTGCTCCTGAGAAGTTTGTCTGAGACCCCATAAACATAAAAACTCAGTATTTCCTTCTCACACCAATAGGAATACAGTTTGTCAAAGATCCTTTGAAAAATTTGAACAATAACTCACCAAATTTTCCAGGTTTTGCAGGCTCTATGGTCATAATACCCAGATCAGAAGACAAGGACAATGAACAGGCGTTTATGCAAATAATATGAGACAAACTTGGATGTCTAAGCGCTCAAGTACTATTAGAAGTAACATCACTGTGATGGCTTTCCGATGACCACAAATTTCTTCATTTGAAATTCTCGTTTAGTCCTCGGTGGTTACTAACTGCAGTTGCTTGGGCAATCATTAATAATTGCATTATTGTTCGACTTCTGACATTACATTTACTTCTTTTTAACACTTTTAAAAGGCGCAACATTATACATCTTAATAACAATCTCGCTAAATCATTTGGGTTTTAAACAATCCTCAAATGAAAGTTTTTATTTTCATCTTACCCGCTGTCGTTTGATTTACAAGTGAGGATGACGTTGGAACAGCTGTCAAGAGAAAAAGCGAAATAACCATGTGATATCACACTAATTGTCGAAACAGTGACCAACAGATGAAATTTTTAAGTTTCTTATCTGATAAACTTTTCTCTGTTTATATTACCAGAACAAAATAGTCTAATATATGAATATCATGTCTATGTAACGAAGCAGCATTTCCTTATATCCTCGCCTTTAAAGAAAAGCAATTTCAACAGAAGTTATCTAAAAACTTTTTGTTTGGTCGGCAGGAATCTCTTTCATGACATTCCGTCTCTATGCTATCCAGATGTTTTTCACCATCATAAAATTAATTCTACAACATTGTGTATTGTTTTTCACCATCATAAAATTAACTCTACAACATTGTTATCGGTACAACTTACGTGGTTTAAATGACAGTACATCTGAGATGTCCTCTTTTGGAGAGTAAGGAAGGGCAAGAATCTTTAAATAAAATAGGAAACTACCATGTGATGATAAGCGTCTCACTAACCTTCTTTGGTTCAAAAATAATTAATTAAACTGATTGGCAGCAAGTACACTGTAAATCGAGTAAAGATCTCACTTACCCTCAGATAAATAACATCTGGAAAAAGATATCCGTAGGAAGAGAGATTAACTTGAAGAAATGTTTGATTCTGAAGTTTAGAAAGAAAAAGAGGAGAAACAATGGTGAAAAAACAAAATCAGTGCAGCTGATTAGCTACTGACCACCAGGTTGTAGACCAACTGAAAAGAAGTTTATGATGGTCAGTGGATTTTCCAAAAACGGTTTTCAATACCTCTAAGAGAGGTTTTCTTTGTCCTCTTATTTTGTACGGCTGAAGAGCGTCCTCATGCGATCCTAACATTCTGATCTTTAGTCTAATCACACGTCACATTGACGTGTTGCACAAGTATCTTGAGAAATATGTAACCAGCCTAAACGATATCCATGCAGATTTAAATCTATATCAGTGCTAGATTATTTAAGGAGTGTTGCCCAAAACACTATCATCTCTGGGTATGGCTTAAAATCAATAGTTAAAGCCCCAGCGTTCTGAAGACTTTGGCTGAGTTTGTTTCTTTAATTAGGCGACTTCCTAGCTGCATATCATTCAAAGAGGCTGTGACAATTTTGGTGTTCAGTTAACCTTCTTTTTAACGTGCAAAACAAGCCTTAACTTGAAAGACAATAGTTATAAAAAGAAAAAACAACACGCATGAGTCACAAACACTTGACTTGAGGGCTAGAAATCTTATTTGAATCGTTAAAGAACGCTACCGATAGAAAAAAGACCAACTTAAAGTCAATATAAAGCAATTTTTTTCACCCGATAAGTAAACGAAATTCAGGTCAATCTTTAAGAAAGATTGGAACGGTATTTTTTGCGTAACTTTGCCTCTTACCTTCGGATGTTGAGAACAACTTGATGGATATACGCCTTTCAATATAGGGTGGGCATTTTTTACCGTAAGTTTAACCACAATACCGGACCAGTTTCCGTAAGTTTCTACAAAAACAAATCGCATAGTGAAAAATTGTTGCATCAAAGAGTCATCATTCTCTTTCGTTAGGGAATTATAAAACTGAAGCCAATACAAGGTCATAGAGAAAATGCTGCACACAAAAAAATATTATCATCTACTTTATACCTTTCAGTCAAAATATCCCCAATGCAGTGTGATCAAGGAAAAATTTAAGTATATATTTTGAATCTTACAAGGATAAAACTACATTGTTAGCAAGGGAACTTGCACATTGATTAAACCTTCATGATAAAAAAATAGGCTTAAAGAAAGCTTTTTTTCACTGAAACTAAAACATCATTACATTTCATTGCTTTTAGGGAACATAACATAGATATATTCATATTAAGTATAAAAATCTGCATTTGCAGTTAGATAATTTTCTACGCAACGCAACGCAAACGAAGCTCCCTACAAGCGTGGTAAATCTGGAATTTAATTTAATTTTAAATTCTGGATCTGATTAGTTTACGGTAGGGAAAGTTTTTCACTCCAGCTATATCGCGAATGAAAGCAAAGCCATTATGATGCCGAAGTTATCACTGACACTCAATAAAATTGGTTCAACTTTCTCGAAGCTTTTATTACTCACCATTTAAAGGCGTCCAAGATATGTTCGCGTACCAATGACTGGTTTTTTTATACTGTCCAAAGTTCACGTTCACCTTGCTTGGGGTCCAGTCCACTTTTTGATTTAATGAAGACATTGAGCATTCTAAAAAACATGGTCTGAAGTTAGCAATATAATCAAGAGCAAAAGAACTACCCCCAAAATACAACAGTAAGTGGAACTTCCAAACTATAGGCCATCCCTTCTCCGATGCTCAAAAATTTAACATCGGGGAAAACCACAACTTCTGAATAACTACTACATCAAGAGAGAGCATGGCACGAGTATTAACAATTAAAATTTTTTAAATCGGGACAAGGTCACTCAGCACAGAATTTGTCATACTCACAGACATTTGCATGAGGGAGGGTATAACATAACACCCCGAGCATTGGTGATATAAAGTTTTTTTTTTTTTTTTTTTAATTACTATTACTCTAGGGATGCAAGAACTGTTTGAACAAGACTTTGTGAATCTACACAAAACTGCGTGATTATTCTGGTTAACTGTCTCTCAGGCAAATCATCCTTTTCGATTTTCAACCACCTTTTACAAAAGGCGTCTATTCAGATGCTTCACATGGTCTTTGCAAAGTCGGCAAACGATTTATATGCGCTTCTGCACACTGTAAGGATCTGTAACCTATTTGTTATTTGTATTTACAAGATCAGTCTTCATTTCATGATACATCTCAACTGAAACGGAAGATCCTGAGCTCTTTCTTTACACTCCTTTCATTATTTTCAACTTACCAGGAATAGCTTTCAAAGCCTTTCGAATGCGCTGTTTCATGGAGCTATGTGCAGCGAGGCCTCGTCGTTCTGCCATTGAAATCGCTAGGAGGTACATGTATAAACTTATGCAGTGAACACTTTCGAAACTAAGATTCACGTTATAAAGTTTACTCAGCGTCACAAGACAGGAGACAAAAATTATTGTTAGCAAATGGGCATTAATCAGTCTAAAGCACTCAAAACTCCTAACCATTAAAATATTTAAAGGGGACAAATAAGTTTACCACGTGATCCCAAGATTTAACAGAAATCGGTTCGCGCGATTTTCGATATAGCGTCTAAAAACCAAAAACAAACCAATCACTTTAAAATTTCATCTATTGGTCACTGCTTCGACGATTAAAGTGAAATCACATGATTATTTCGCTTTTTCTCCTGACAGCTGTTCCAACGTCATCCTCACTTGTAATAATACATAGCAATAACAGTGATAATATTGTCAGAAAGAGAAAGCCCATTCGCTTTGGTGCTTTTGAGAGGGCTATCAAATATCACTTTAAAACAGATGAATCACTCTAAGTTTTACCTTGCGTTTCCTTGCAAAATTCATGACATGAGAAGGATACCTGCAGGTCAGAATGGTAAAGAGACAGATGGTCAAGTGGTCAAATCGATCGGTAGATTTCCAGTTAATAAGACAGACAGAAATTGAATTTGTTTACGTTCCAAAGGTGTAGTTTTTTCATAAGGTTTCAGATTTGTGTTATGCATAGAGAAGAATTTGGTGTGAAATATGCACCATTTTCTACACTGTCCCACGAGCAAAAATTAATAAGAGAGGGAACAAAGCCATAGGTCCGCGAAGTGTGCTGAGGTTTGCATGATTGTCTTCAAACCCAAAGTTTAATATAACGTGCACATAAAGACTTATTTTCTATAATTAATGACTCGTTTAAGTACGTGAGATTAATTTCGAGTAAATTTAGGATTTAATAGACCGATAAAGCTCCCTCGTTTGCTCCGATTAAATAATTAATACGAGGAACATTGGTTGTCATCATGTCACAAAGGGTTCAGATTATATTATCGCCTGGCTCAATTTTTCAGTGTTTTAGATTCGCCGATTCATTGACCTACGGGAAACACGTTTTATGCATGATTCTGCTACATTAAATCTGAAAATTTCAAAGAATATCAGAGATATCAAAAGAAGCAAAATTTAAAATGTAAACTTTTAACAGCTTCCTTCCTCCGACAGACAGTAATGTTATTTGCATATCTAAAATACGATCATTAGCAAGGAATTTCAAATACTAAACGGTGTAAAGACTTAAAAAGCCATGTTTGGAAAGCCTTATCGATTATTATTTTTTTCTCTTTCGTTTAAAATACCAAGAACAAGGAGTTATTGACGTAAAATTTCTGCAAAATCCGCGTACTGAAAATCTTAATGAATTCCTTTTTCCCGGAAAGTTTGATCCAGTGCTACTAATCATTCATACTATGACAGAATCTCATCAGGTTAATTTGAAAGGTCCCATCTAATTAGTTCTAGAATGAACTGTAAACGCTCTCACCCATCTGAGACTTATTTTTATCCACAAGTTTCTGCCGGTATCACTCATTCAAATGTTGTTTGTTAAGTAATGTCTCGGGCTGTGTCAAAATGGATTTGTCCATCCTTTAATATTCAGAGTGGTAAAATATGCCCGGAAGGAGTCGTATTTTTGTCTCGATATCAAGAGGATCTCATTTGAAAACATAAGACAGTCTTTTTGGATATCAGAGTCGATGAAGATTCTTGGTTCCGTTTCAATGAAACATAACAACGATAATTATGTTTCAGTCCACTTTAACCGGTATTGAATAGTAACTAACATTTCCATCGATAAAGATTTTCAATTTAAACTTGAAATCGTCGTGTCTTCACTGCACTAATCACTATCCTTAACCTAATGTCATAAATTCCTGGAAATCAGATCACGTTTACTTGTTATAAAATATTTTTTGCACGCCCTCGTAAACAAGAGAAAAGAAAAGAAATTAGAACGACACCACTTCAGCGTGGAGGAAATGCATTATGCATTGTCCGTGGTTTCCGCCATGTGAAAGCTTTTACATTCCTTAGAGGAATGTTTGCAGACTTGAGCGTAAGCTGCAGTGCAGTCAGTATCAAAACGCAATCGGAATACAAACAAATGGAGTACAAACCTTTGAAGCGGCGGTATTTTTAACTAAGCGATGGCATCGTCGAAGACATGATGACTTTACAGATCCTGCTTGAGATTCTTGAAACAAATCGCCAGCAATAAGGACCAACAGCGGCAATACTACGACAAACATTAAACGGCCGAGCATTGTATTCATTGGATTGCAGTTGTATCAAGAGACGTTGGCATCACATGGCATTCGCAAGGCTGATATAGCACCAACAAATTTGTGTTTAGACATAGACTCCTTCTTGATAGCACGCCTTTCACTTTACAATCTCGTTTGTTCACTCAGCCGCAACAAATTTTTATTTATGTATGCTGCAGTCATGATAACATCTTCATTATATCTTTGAACGAGGTCTGCATTGTCTCTTTCGGTCTTCTTTAACTCTCCTATTTTAATACTAGGCTATTTTTATCTTCATAGATATTAAATTGCATGAGATCATTTTTTTCGTTTTATTGTTTTTCTAAAATGCAAGAACAAAGTAAAAACGGACGTCATGTACGAAATATAAACATGAGTGAGCATGGCGTGACAAATCTGAACAAAAATTCAGATGGACCAGCCTTGGAGACAGAAGCATGACTTAGATACGCGTTTGACACCTAAAGATATTAAAAATTATGATAATATTAATGATGTTGGTAAATGTAATTTCTGAAGTTTGAGTGACATGGAAACAAGTTAGTCAGAAATTAATATTCTGATAGCACGTTAAAGAGGTTCGCGTGGCATCATGGAAGTTTCGGATGATTAAAGTGTTTCGCGGGAAAATTTAGTCATTCTAGATCGGTCAGTCTTATGTTTGACCACTTTCCTTCTTTTTTTTTTTTTTTTTTTTTTTTTTTTTTTTTTTTTCGTATTGATGCAATTTTCGTTTCCAAATCCTTGTAAAATATCAGTACATTCTTCGATTTTTTTTGGGATTAGCAGGGTGGCCATGTTAGTTTACCCTTTCCTCGGGGTATTGTGCTGCTGCATTAGATGAGGAATACGTTTCCACATTATTTTTGACCACTTTTAAAGAATGGTTTTCTTAGTGGTTTTTCGTATCTGGCGCAACACAGGTTCTTTTAGAACCCTTAGTTTTCAGTGTACACGTGTTAAGATCAAACCAGGATGCGTGTACTACAAGACTGGCTGACTCAACCTAAATAAACTTTTCACAGTGGATGACTCGTCTGAGTGTAGTTAGAATTGAAAACGAGACTTACATTATTACTTATAATAATTATAGTTGTTTTGTGATACTTCTATAACTTCGTGAAAATAGTAGAATCGAGATAAATTTCAAACTCACGACACTACTCACGATAACATTTTTAAAGACATGGTTCGCCATGACCCATACCATCATCCATTTTGTGTGCTGTATACATTCACTTTGTTTTTACACATTACGCAAAAAGAACGTCATCAGTCTAGACAAATAATAGTTAAAAGTTGCAGTACCGACAAGTATTGTCACTCGATTTTAATCATGATTACCATCATTTTCAACATCGTCATTTTTCAAATAAAGTTAGGTCATGGCCCACCTCTATAAAGAGAATTAGTATATACCAAACAAGTAAATAATGCTTTCTGCGCGCGCTGATTGGCTATTTCGGAAGTGAATAGCAAGTACTATGAACCTTTTAGCAGCCGATGTTACAAAATCGTGCGTAAAGAGTTGAATTTCTGACCATTTTTCGGTATAATAAAAGTAATAAACAAGTTTGTTGGTTTCTGTGTGGTAAGTACTGAAACAATTATTCACCTCCACTTTGGTGAATAATTTTTTATTATGTTTCGATCACAGTTTCGGTCCTTGAATAAGAACTCCTTTCTATATATACGTATCACGCTAAAGCTGAATATAAAGGATAATGCGACGATGGTCTTTAAGGGGAAGGAGAATTAGAGAAGGCGATAAATGACGAGTCTTCAAATATTTTCGCTTTTAGCTCTGAATTTCTGTTTCTTTTTTTCGTTTTATTTGTTTGTTTGTTTGTTCGTGTTTTCGCGTGCGGCCCATTAGAAGCTTGCGCGCGAACGAGCCTCATCATGACGTAACATACGATAAAGAATGTGACGTAACAGAAGAACCTCATTTTTCATACCGTTCATGTAGTCAGTGTTCGTTGCTTCTTGATGGGCTGTGTTTTCAGGTGTTGCGCTTGGTGCGGGTGTGTTTCTTTTAGGTACGTTAACAATCTACAACATAACTTTGACAACTTTGAAACGAACGCAAGTAAAATTTCGAAGGAAAATGAGCAGTTACTCTTTCCCAACTACGTGTGTAACGAAAACGAAGAGAGTAGAGCATCGAGCTTTGCAAACCTTTTTTTATGATCATCATTGCAAAAAAGGAACAATACTTACGAAACAGTTACGATACAGAAAGATTATTGTAGGGTTGATGATTTTATTTTAAGACAAAGTACTCTGTACTATTAACAATGCATAGCTTTGAGAGCTATAAGACATATAAAAAAAAAGTCTGTTATGTTCCACAAATTTTTCCAATTTGTCTTTCCGACTTGTTGCTTCGTGATGCAGCCCTTTTAAAAGTGGCTTTGTGCCATGTACGGAATCTTTACGATAGCTTTTTGGTAAGTACAATTGCAGTGATAGTAGAACGAAAAAATGAAAAGGTAGTATCGCTTGTTCCAGATGAATGTATAGTAATGATGGTCAATGATAATGCAATTGTCTTGATCTCTGGCCGATTGAGAGAATTATGATTATCCAAAACTGTCAAACACAAAGACCAATTACTTATAAATCTATTCAATGACCAATTACTTATAAATCTTATCAAAGACCAATTACTTATAAATCTTATCATTGACAAATTTGAGGTTAAGAGAAGAGAGAACTGATTAAAATGTAGAATATTTTTATAAATGGCGCACAAACAGTAAATAGTGACGTGGGATCGTCTACAAATTTGACCCTCATGATACTAAAACAGCCATTGATTATCGACACTGTGACTATTTTAACTACGATTGTGTTCCAGCTGTGTGTCACTGAGAGAAATGTATCGATATGTTGTCCACTTAGCACCGTGCTGAGTATACTAATTGCATGAGTTCTCTCTCGTGCCAGTCTCTCATCTGTGTGGCAGGGTCTTGAATTTTCGAGTGCAGTGGACATGATATCCAACAAGTTTTATGTTTTGAAATTTGCCATAAATAGCTGCGTTGAGAAACGTCAAAGGTTCGAAAAGCTTCAAAAAGGAACTAAATATTACTAATATTCATAACGGTAACTTGACGCCTCGTTACGCGAAAGTAAAACAAGTCCTCTGTCCATGTTCGGAAATGTTTCTCAGAAAACTTCTTCTCTGATCGGGTCGACGTCGTCTATGGAGGATACTACTGTATCATTACTTTTTGTGCTTTCATGCCTGTTTTTGTTAGGCAACTTGAGAAACTCGATGAGTTTTCTTTCCCAGTAGGGTTTTTCGTGATTACTGCCATAGTCGATAACGCTTCTTTCTTGCAGATCTTCAGGTAGCGATGTTAAATCTACGTCATCTTTTCTTATAATGACTAAACTGTCGTCATTTTTTCTAAGAAGTCTATGCTTTGCTTGATTCAGTTCAAATATACAAAAGCTACTATTCAAAAAGTTCCTCGAGTAAACTACAACATTTTTGTAACTTTTACTAATACTATCCGACATCAGCTCATAGATAATACCACCAGCTTTGAAGTCTCTGTAATGGACTCGGCATTGGAGCCCATGCTGTTCTTCAATGAGGGGTAGGAGCTCTTTATCCACCAATTCTTTATCACTGCTATTAAAAATTATGAATATGTCATGATTTTCAGGCTCAATATCTGGAAGAAAAGAAAGGAAAATTTGTTAGACACACGTGGGAGGTTTAATCCTAAAGAACTCTGTAAAATTCTCAGATTTAAGAGTAGCTGATGAGCGCAAAAGCTTGAGCAGGCTTCATTCACAGCACAAAAGAGTTTTAATGTGGAGGCTGACCATTATGTCATTTCAAAAGCGAGAGTGCTTCAGTAAGAGGACCCCAGACCACCAATTAAAAAAGTCAGCTGGTTAATGGCGTAGTAATTTGGTTTTATCGACTGAGTTAAAAATGTAAATTAGCCACCGTTAAGAGTTTCAAAGCTGACGTTTCGGGCATGAGCCCTTTATCAGCGTGAATGGGCAAACTGAGGGCTAACGCTCAAAACGTCAGCTTTGGGTAATTGGTAATTCATAGGTTTTTTTTCTATAGCCATGTCATATTTGTATACCTAGTAATTGGAAGAAACCCTCTTTAAGAGCAAAATATAAGTAGTTGATGATGAAGTGTTATTTTCTCCCTTCTTCGATCAGGCTCAACTCATAAAGGGCCAAACACTTTGACGAAGAGCTGGCGGTCGAAACGTCAGCTTTGAACTCTACGTAAAGCCACTTTGCGCCATCAATTCGGTCGATAACACTTAATTCACCTGTTATACTCTCCTACCAACGTAGCACCACAATTTCTTTAAAAAGTTGCCCCCTTAATACGTTCATGACGTTTTCGCTAGGGAATTACAGCTATTTCGTGTAGATCTTTACGGAGGCGGGAAATCGTGCAAAAAAAAATGCCACCCAATCAGGTTTTTGTGATGTTGATTGTCTGTCTCTTCTTTGTTTCCTAAAGCAATTCATATTATGGCTTGAAGAGACACTGAGCAAATTCAAAAGATAGTACGGCCATTGGTATCGTTTTGGTAAAAATAAAATTGCCCCAAAGTTCAAGAAAATCTAACAGTTTCAGTCTACTAAATAGGACAAATTCGAAGTGGTGAAATAAATTTTTATGGATATATATTATCCAAACGTGAATCCAAAGTTTGCCTGAGTCGTTTGCCCTTCTAGGAGATATTAGGAACTTTTGGCAGTTAGGACGGCAAAACCAAGGAAGACGTCGAATCAAAAATTAATACATATTTTAGTTGGAATTTCGCGACTGACTGGATGTGTGTACCATCTTTTATGGCGCCGAAAGTTAACCTCAGCATAGCGTATGAGAGCGCCGTTGAGTTCCAAATGGAAACTTAAATAATTTGCCGTCGGGGTTTCCTTTCTCGGACTACGCAAATTTTGATGATTTCACGTTGTTATTTTTCAGAGGATGGTTAAGAAATGTACACAGTTTTAAAACGCACGCGCTGAGCTATTGTTCTGCTAATTAGATCTCTGGTTTTGCCACGTCCTCGTTGCTATCGCCATTGTGGTTTGCTAAAGCTCCCTACTATTAGTATTCTCAAGAGAATATAATAAAGTTCTTTTTTTGAAATAAAAATACAAACCACCAGGTGGACGATCATAGTTAAATCCCTCGCGTTTTACACAGATTCTAATAAACTTTTTATGGAAAACACCAGCCAATACTACAGCCAAGACACCAGCTACAGCACCGACGGAAATGGACACATATTTCATGGGTTTGTCAGAGCCTGGGAAAAAAATTATTTCATTATTAAATCAATTTCAACACTAGTTAATAAAAGGAATAACAAATTAAAAAAAGAATCTCGGGACTGCCTTAAGTGTTTTTGAGAAGTTTTTGTGTAGCCCTATTATGATAAAGTATTTTCTTGTCATATGAAAACGGATAGAGTTTTTCAAAGTTCTTGGGAATACTTGACGATTTTTTGTTGTTGTTTAGTGTCTGAAAAATGAAGGTAAGTTTGGTTCGGGGCAGGGGTGATAGATAGATGATCACAACTCCCCATGAATGTGGAGAATATATCATCTGCAGATAATTTCCTGAGCCCCTGCATGCACTCAACTCAGGGGGATTTTGCTTGTGTCACCACAAAATTTACCTGATACCACATATTATTTTTTTCTCAGTCCGTGAGCGGGCGGTATTCTACAAATCCTGCAATCTGATTGGTTCCGAGAGCGGG